GTATGGTCGCCTAGCTGGGTCGTCGGGAAAGAAACAGTCAACCAGCGAAGATGGCACGGTTAAGTAAAAATCAAAACGAGGCTCACCGCTTGGCGGGGTGAGGGGTGAAAAGAAAAGTGGGGTCTCTTTTAATGCAGGCCGGAAAGGAAAAAATGGAGTAAAGCTTGGCGGTAGGGCACGCAATCGTTGCAAATTCGACCACGATCATTTCCTGGTGTTAATTGTCACTACAACGTACTTACATGTAGGTACATACATGTAAGTACCCGCCTTATTATAGTATGTATGTGTTTCTGCTACGATACCGCCTCTTGTATTCGTGCCATTAACTTGTAAAACTGACTTGGATGCCCTACCACAGCCCGAAAAACTACCACGGGGAAGATAGATCTACGTCAGTGTTAATAGAGCGTATTTGCCAACCGTCAATTTCAAGAATTTACAAATTGTGGGGCTCCGAAATGGCAACCGGGGCTGTTAATTTTGAATTTCGGTGGGGCGGCGTGCTGTGAGATATACTAGGAGGATCACAAGTACCCAGTTTTGTTACTACTGAAGCTAGTATCATGGGTATGAATTTTCAGTTCCAACAGCGTATTTCACAGGTAGCGTGATGGATTGTCTGGTTTTCGGGGTTTATTCTGTCACACCGTTAACCAGATCGATTTTGGTCACTGAGGGGAACTGTCAATTTTACCTCCCGAAACTGTCAAGTTTGAAGTGTCAATAGTTGAAATTGACGGTTGGCAAATACGCTCTAATGACAGTAAATTTACCTATGTACAGTACCACGTATATATATACAGTACTGTTTAAATCGGGTTCTTCTAATGTTTAATATTAACCAATTACCATTATAATTATATAAAATCACATTTGTATGTCATTCCAGGTTGCCGGAGTCCGCCGAGTAGCGCCTGATTATTAGCTTTGAGGTCCTGGATCAACCTACTTTCCTTGCCTGGTGAGATTTAAGAAGAGGCAGCTCTATAATTTGATAAAAAGAATATATGGAAACTACCCAATCTCAAATTAAACTGTAATACTACCTACATTAATCTCACCCCAGCCTGCTTGCTCTTTTTCGCAGCAGACTGAACTGCCGTCGCCGAAGTGCTATTAAGGCTTGAAGCTGCTTCCCTCTTCTTCTCGTCTTCAATTTTCTTGAGCCTCTTCTCGGTTTTTGCTTTTCCAGAGCCTTTACCATGGAATTGATGTGATAGGTGTTTGAATGCCTGTGTTTGTCAGTTGTGTAATGATGGGATATAAATTACAAAAAAACTTAGTGGATAAAGCATACCTCCTTCTGAGTCATGTCTCGCCCAAACTCGTCTTTATAGCTTAAGTTAACATCCGGTTTATACTCCTTAAACCTTTGCGCCATCTCCCTTGCTTCTTGTAGATCCCTCTGTCTATTCTCCCACCTAGCATGCTCCTCTCTCTCTCTGGCAGACATGCGATCGAACTTCCCGCTTTGTCTATCACGAAGTCTTTGCTGCTTGGCCTTCTCTTCTGCTTCAAGTTCACGTATCTTCTTTTCGATGCGGAACTTTTCACGATCACGGAGGAGATTGATTTTATTATCTGCCTCCTCGTCCCGTTTGAGTAGACCGCGTTGATTGAGCATAGCTAATGTTGCACCCACGCCACGAGAGATGGTCATCTCCTCGTCCAGACCAGTACTTGAGATCTCTGGCGGTGCTGGGGCAATTAAACCTAGATCTTTTTGGTCCTCCTCTCCATCTTCCATCTTGATATCTCCATCATGCTCTTCAGGCTCTGGAGAATTTGCCATAGCACTAGCTGCAGGAGTAGTAACAGGGGCAGATCTGGATTTCCTCCGTTCCGGAATAACAGGTGCCCTGAGTGCCGCTACAAACTCGGTCGTCTCATCAATGACGAGACCAACCTCATCATCGTCTTCACCTTTCATTTGAGTATCTTCTGCATTACTCTCTTCACGTAGTTGACGTGCTAAATCGTCGGGTTTTAAAACCTTACGTTTCTTCAATGCCATTTTACGTTGCATAGCAAGTGAACTTTGTAGATCGTCATCGTCGATGAAGGAAACATCTTCATAAGTTCTCTTCGGTTTGTGAGTTGGTTTGTTATCAACCTCCATAGTTTCCCCATCCGCCTCTGGTTCCTCCTCTTTAATTGTCGGTGGGGGTGTAAGTGAATCCTCAACATCACCGGACTTCTTTCTTGTGCTCTTCTTCTTCTTTGGTTTCCTGATCTTTATGGTAGCTGGGTCCACATAATCCGGCATAATCTCTGGTTCTATATCGACCCCTTATAATTAGCTGTGTTCTTCGTATCCAAGAATGTGGGCGCACATATACTCACTCGGTATATCTAAGGTGATTGGCTTTGCCTTGAGTTTCTCAGCAATTTCTTTCCGGTGAACGTCGGACATGTCTTCGATATTCCCACTGCCATCTAGCACAAATCTCTTCTTCTTCTTGCCGTCTATCTCCTCGTCATATTGGGCAAGTATAGATGTTTCTCCATCAGCAGCTTCATGGGGATTATAAAACGGTTTTTTCTTTTTGAGCTCAAGCCGCTCCTTAAGGCGCTCGCGTTCCGCGAGCGTCGTAGAAATAAGCTCGTCTCCGTCCTCCCCTAGCCGCCCACCAAATAATCAGTCCAATTCTTATTTGAGTTACAACGATATATACTCACCTTCACCATCCCCGATTGTTGAATCCTTTAATGTCAACACCATTCCCTCCTCTACAATTACAAGTTCCTCCAAATCATGCCCCACTCTCACACCCTTCAAATCTTCTGCTGTATAGTCCTTAGTCTCCCTCGCTAACCTCTCTAGTTCTTCCTCCTTTTCTTTCGCCATCTTCTCTGCTAGCTTCTTTTGACGCTTCTTCATCTTCCGTACCCACGTTGTCGTGTCCTCCTCATTCTCGTCCGCCTCCCCAAGTCTCTTGCCTTCCAACACGGCAAATCGCTTTGCTGCATCGCGTGCCTTTTTGATGCCTTCAGCACGTGCACGGCGTGCGGAGTCGGCTTCGAGGGTGGACTGGTGGGTTTTCCAGTTGTCGATAGCGCGACGATCTTGAGACTCGGTCGAGTTGTCGAAAACGAGAGTGGTATCTGTGGTGGCAGCGGTGTTTGTAGAAGGAGGGTCAGCTTTGAGAGGCTTAAGACCGAGTGATATTCGGAGCTTATTAGTTTCCTCGAGTGATAGTGATTCTTCCATTTTAGAGGGTCGGTGAGGGAGAATAGCTTGAGGAGCGGAGTTTGATAATCGCGAATCCGAATCGCGAATTGTGAATCCAGATCCTAGGTCCGGAGACTTGGCGCCAAGTAATACTTACAAGCTAGAACTCGTATGCCATTAAGGATTTCAAGCACTCATCTCCAGTGGTTCCCATTAAGGTTTAATTTGGATGAAACAAAATCTTAGAATCAACCACTTAAAACACGGGCGTACCGTGCATACACATGTATGCTTATATCTGCATGTTAGATTCTGACGCCTTGGATTGCATTTACGCAGTTCTCTAAAGTATATGTATTCATTCATAGGCATGTCTTACTGATATCTTGCCGACATGTAGGTACATACAGGTATATACAGTTTCCGGTAGAATTATTGCGAAAGTCAGAGCTAAAAGAGTGGGTTTCTTGGTCCGTGCTCACTGCAAAATCTTCTTTAAGGGCCAATGGGACTATCGGGTCACGGAAAACCCACTTTCGCAATAATTCTACCGGAAACTGTACATGCATTGTAAGCGCAGTATGATATCAATTTAATTATCGGCTGGGCACGAGACAGATACTAAAGCATGTACTTCGGTAAGTATAGACTTTTGTCCAGGGTTGGGTGGGCATGGGGATATGGGTCCAACAACGTACCGATAACGTCGAAAGTGACCCTGGAACATTTAAGTATATATGGTTAATTCTCTGTGGAAATGCAGTCTTCCGCTCTCTTGAGCTTCTTGACTTCACCAATTTCTCCTTGCAATTGAGGAAAGCGTCGGCATATGTCCCAATACTGAGGGCGCCCCGTGAAAGTGTTTACCTACTTTAGATGTAAAGGGGATCAATTTCAAAACGTTTATATATCTCGGGGTGGTGGGTTGACTACATGAATGTATATGTATCTTGGTCGGGCTTGTTTAATTCTGTCTTGGCTAATTGGCTACAGCCATTGCAATGCTGAGTGATATGCTATGACCCAAGTTGTATTTCATGAATGATATATACATGTACACGTATATACATATAGGGGAAGCTACATACACAGCTGTACAGTCAAGTGCCTGTAGCCTACGAACAGCAGGCTGCTCATTGTAGGGGGTAGGGGCCTAAGATCAATCAAGAACTTACCAGGTAGGACTTTCGGCTATAATTATTTGAGAGTACATGTATCAATACCTTTCGATTTGAATCAAGGAGGGTATAATCCCTTCAAACATGTACAAATGTACATATGTAGTTATATATATGGGCACTAATAGGAAGAGACAAAGAAATGAAGAAATAAGCGCGCCGAACCCGTATCTAAATATTTGAATAGACCCACCACCACAAATAAAGTAACAGCCCAAACCCTAAATCCCTTCGCTCATACATGCAACTACAAGCAACTATCAAAGAGGATAGAAATATGAGGGAAGACAAAAAACAAAAACAAAAAATGGATTACAAGTAGAAAATATTAAATCAATTGACTCAAGGTTGGATAATAATCTCATACCCTAGCAGTACCTCTGTGCTTGCGCCTTCCCACCCCCTATTACCCGCAGTTGAGATCATGTATTGACAGGTCGTATCGACATCTACATAGATGTTACAATTTTGAGACCTCAGAGTAAAAGAAGGGCTTAGATTTATGAAGACTTACATATTGATGATATAACACCTCCATGGTGTCCCGGAATAATTAAGAAAGGGACGGTCGACTTTGTTCCTTGATCGCTCAGATCATATAAGCGTAGATTATCAAACGACGCACTAATTTCCAGATCAATTGCTACTCAAGTAAGGTTCTTGGTGGGGAATACTGACCAAATCAGGTGTCTGCCATTGGGCATTGCGGCCAATGCGGAAACTGGCCCACTCCCCATAGGGAATCTCATTGTTCTTACAGGCTCTCCAACCCCTTTATGAACGTTGAATTCCTCTACTGTACCATTTCGTCTCCCAACATAGACAAAGTTACCATCCGTGCTCCAGCATGCATCCATACACCAAGGCGGAACTCCTTTTGATGGAGTGCTTGTTGCGACAGGCGTGAGCTGCCGGCGATCCCAAATCCTGAATGTTCCATCCATAGATGATACTAGAAACACATTTTGGTCCGTCGTGGAGGCTGAAGATGATGCTGCTGTAGGAATATGATTGGTAGAAGAAACATCGTGATGATGCACGCCGTTGGTACCATTGGAACCCCCACTATTTTTTGTTCCACCGGAACCGCTGTCACCCATAGTGATGTCCCCGTCATCATCGCCTTTTTGGCTCCCACTCCCATTTTGAGAAAGCTTTGTATCACCATTAAGCCCGGATCCACTGGCGATGGCTTGGCTCATCTCATCTACCTCACCACCTCCCATGCCCATATCATCATCATCGTCACCGAATAAACTCCCATAACTCCTCGTGCTCTCTGCCGGGCTTCCTGGCGCATCCTCGTCACCGTCGTCTTTACTTGCTCCATTAAGCCCATTAGAAAGACCACCATCTCCCCTTCGTCCCCCAGACGCTCCATTTATTAGGCTGTCTTTTTTGATCTCTTGCCAATTATCTGAATTTGATCTAAAAGCAATACTTGAAACTTGACCTGCATTGGAAAGAAAATCCCGTGTTGTTTGCCCGGTGTTTAAATCCCAGTCGTAGACATTCCTATCCCAACTCCCGGATAAAAGGGACCTTTCGTCTGAAGAAAGCGTGAGTACACTAACTGCCGAAGTGTGTTTTCGTAGCGTAGTGATAATCTTTCCTTCATCATGGCGTACTGATTGAAGATTGATACCACCACTCTACATGGGCGATGGTAAGTACGGCTCATGCTAGAATTGAAGGCTTTAAATACCTCTAAACCACTCAATAGCCACAGACTTTGGTTTTGAACTGCCAAGCTGTATACGGGACTTAGCTTTAGATCATCCGTTGTTTCCGGTATATACAGATGTTCCGATTTGACTGCATGAGTGTCAGTTCATAGTAGAATTTCATTAAATGAGGTAGACGAACCAACTGGTTCTTCGTTCTCCCAGTATGATAGCAAGATACCAGCCTGTTCAATAGCAATACAGCGTTAAATGTTGCCTACAATGCTGCATGTTTCAAGAGGACTTACCCTGGTGACGCTATCAACAAACGGATGCCGTTGAGCAACAGTCAAGGGGACCCTCCCGTTGATGCTTCCAAACCAATCGAAGCGCCTTATATACCCGTCGCTTCCTCCTGTAAATATCCACCGCATGCAAGGTGTTGCGCAAAAAGCGTTTATGCTTGTAGATTGGGGGGCTGCTACATAAGGTACAATATCATATGTGGAAGCTGTTCCAGCACCTTCTCTCAGCTTTGGGCGTGGTCGGACATCCTTCGGCTCCTTTGAACTTGATCGTGAGCGATGAGGCCCCGGCGGGTGCTGCGAATCTAATACAAAGGTTAGTCGAAAGATATATGGGATGTGATGGGGATGCCCGAGAGTTTACCGTCGCCGTCACCGTCTCCATCGCCTTCCTCATCGCCCTCGTTTTGATCGTCCCCATCAGGGTCAGCGTCACCATCCACATCGTCATCATCGTCAGAATTGTGATCGGATTCGTCTTCGTTTTCCTGGTCGTGGTCATCCATGTGGTCGTCCTGCTCATTGTCCGAAGATCCGGCGTTGGAAGCTAGAACGAATCGTTGGTTCAGTATTGGTTCTCCAAAGCTACTGGCGATATGCCTATAAGGTTCTACGGATCAAAGAGACAAAGAGATATATGGAGCTTGATAGAAAGGCTTCAGTTACCATTATCGTTATGGTTTCGTTCATCATCTGAATCCATCTCGCCGCGCATTCTAGTTCCCTACTTGCTTGGTCCAATCGCGTCTTTTTTTCTTCCGGATACTGTAGTCAACGTGAGCCTACCCGATAGAATTTCGAGGTTTGCGGTAAGCGTGTGAGGGCTCCCAGTGAGTATTTAGTGAAAAAGCAATGTGATAAATTTCTACGTGCCCATCTGCATTCACGGTGTGTATGTAGGTACACTCCTCAAGTTAACGCGATCCAAATCCCTTGCCCTAATTGATACACTCTGCCAAGAATCTATAAAGATCCTGGAGGTACATGTATGTATGCAGTACTCACCCTACACGCATGTTCATTCGATAAGCACCACTACTACGAAATCCTTCAGGAAAAACCAAACGACTTGATGTAATTATGCTACCTACAATGTCATACACTTTGTGTATCTGGCTGGGTAGGGGAAGTCCTATCTGGGCCCACTCTTCTAGTAGGGACAACTGACTCGACTTTTAGGCATGAAAACAGTGACAATTGATACCCTTGCCTGAGGGAAGTGACCTTCTACTTTAGATTGGTATAGTATGTATGAAGTCTAATAAGAGACTAAGTGCCCTTGTAAGAAGGCTACGATAGCTGGTATCCTTAGAACAAGTCGACTATATACATGTAGCTACATGTATACCAACTCCACTTGTAGAGTACATGCCATCTACATACATTTCCCTCTTACCTAGAGTATAGAAATCACAGTTATGAAAGAAGCTGCAGCTACAGGAAGCTGCTCATTACCTACATGTACATGTAGTATCGCCATTGATACGAGTGAAATCATAGATTTGTCCAGTCTGATCATGCGTGACAAAGGGTCGCTACCACGGCAATTGCCGAGATTTTACGAGCCGTATTCCGATCTATTCCATCTTCATCCGACGTATTCTGGATAGTCGATTTTGGTGTACTATTTCTACAAAGTTAGAATTCAAATAGTAATGAACCTTGTGAATATGCAATCAGGCCTACTACCTACATGCCTTGCACTGGAGGCCTGAAAAAATGCCAAGACACCCCACTTACTCTCAAAGTTATTGATGACTACATGCACCCGGTACTACTACAAACTTATTTTTGCTGGATGCCTGGAAAGCCTTAACGATCCACCAAGCTATTCTATCACATCCCTACTTTAAACTTTATTCATGATTTGACATATCTATTGCATCCTACCTCCCGACTACATCAACACTCATTTCTTTAACCTCTCCTCCTTACCGTTTCCTCCTTACTCTTTCCTCTCATCTTCACTCACCAATACATACTCAACATGTCTACCCCCACCAGCACTAGCAGGAGGAATGGCGCAAATGGAGGTAGCCGGAAAGACCAACGGAAAAAAAACCGCGAATCCAAGCTTACAAAGGGCAAATCTGTAGTTCCAAAGGAAGATGGCCCAATAAAAACCGCCGATCAAGCTTCTATTGGGGATCCCGAGGAGGTTGGGGATGATATGAAAGAAGAGCTTGGTGAAAGTAGTACGCAACAGGATGTCCGGGATTCCGAGAATAGCGGTGAAGAATCATCACAAAAAAACTACGATGGAGACAATTGGGGACCAGAATCTCCCTCTACGGGTAAGCCCAAGGTTCTTAAGAGGGGAAGAAGGAGACAAGAATATCATGATCTTCCACCGCTTCAGATTGCCGGGATGGTCGCGCCGAGCAGGGACAAAATCATAAGAGATAGAGAAGCTTCCAACACCCAAGAAGAGTTACACACGGATATCTCTGAGAGGATACATAGAGGAGGGAGGGGGAGAGGGGGAGAAATAGCTACAGGAATGAATCCAGGAGTACAGAGGAACGAAAAAGTGGCCCGGTAATACCTATCTCGATACATCACTTGAGACTCATCTGACTTAACTCTAAAACTTTCTACCTATAGTTTCGAGAGAGAAAGTACAGACCACTTCGAAGCAGCATGGCGTAAACGCCCGGACGTACCGACAACTGAGGAATTGCTGAGAGAAGTCGTAGATCTTCCAACAAATTGCATTGACAGAGCTTTTGACAGTGTCGACGATTACCTCGAAACACACTACGAACTTCTGAGGGAGGATGCGTTTGCATGCCTTAGAGATGCCGTTTCACTTATGAAGAGTAATCCAACTACCAAGGAAACACATGATGTCTCCATTTACGAGAATGTGAGTTCATCTATTTTATGGTGTAACTTCAGTTTACACTCAATACTAAAGCCTTTGTATGTTATTTCTAGGTTCGTATACTTGGCCTAACATTCTCAAAAATGGGAATTGCCACTAAGGTGTCATTTTCTACCAATCGCGCAGAAAAGAAAATTCCTTGGGCGCACTCAAAGCGACTGCTTCCTGGTACACTCGTATGCATCTCATCCGATAACTTCCAAACAGTCAAAGTGGCTACTGTTGCAGCCAGACCTTTGTGCGGGCTTGAGATGAGGCCCCCTGAAGTTGATCTACTTTTCAATGAAACCGAACTTGAGATTGATACAGAAAAAATCTTCGTCATGGTGGAATCACGTAATGGATATTATGAAGCATATAAGTGGACTCTCAGGGCGTTGCAGAGGATGACAGAGCATAAGTAAGTTCACTAGTATCTTTACGCTAAAGCCATTGTTACTATTACTATTACTGATATCGATTCTCGGCAGTTTTCCCTTACACGAACATATTTGCTTCCTTAACACAAACATTCCACCGCCGCGTTATGTCACGCAAAAACCATTTCTCAATCTCTCCCCCATATTTCCAGATATACCGGATAAGGAGCCCTTGGAAGATGTTGATATCATCAAGGCGTGGCCTCAAGATGCCTTGACCGCCATGGACAGCACACAGATGAGGGCTTTACATTCAATTTTAACCAGGCGTGTTTCGATTGTCCAGGGACCCCCAGGTACAGGGAAAACATACGTTAGTGTCCGGGCGTTAAAGCTTTTGCTACACAATATGGATGCAGCGGACCCGCCTATCGTTATAGCCTGTCAAACAAATCACGCTCTAGGTAACACTTAGACCCCCCCCTTTACTACGGCTCAGCTCAGCTTCTAATTAACTCTAATATAGATCAACTTCTAAATAAAGTCCTTGAATTTGAAGACGAAGTCGTGCGTATGGGAGGTCGCACACAGGACAAAGACAAAATCAAAGAGCATACGATATTTGAACTGAGAATGAAATCAAATTTCAAAATACAGGGCTCCCAACATGGCTATGCAACAGCAAATTTAAAGAGAATTCGGGACAAGATGATGAAGCTTTTCGAATGTCTCAAACAAGAAGTTCTAACGGTAGATGACTTATACGAAAATGGACTCATCACTGCAGCTCAAGCCAAAAGCTTCAACGAGCGTTCGGCTGGTTGGATAGTACCTGAAGAAACCGATGCAAAGGGGGGTATCATTGGCCAATGGCTTGGTGAGTATTTTAGAGAAATTCAAATTCAGGATATTATCGACGGTGACTATGAAGTGGGCGATATCGAACCGGAGAAGAGGAAGGAACTTGAAGAAGATTTCCTTCTTTCGGGACCTGGGGCAAATGGCGATAAAATAGATGATAGGCTCAAGGGGGATTGGTTTGCGATGGGTCGACAATACACCGTTGAAAACCCAGTCGATGTTACAATGGCAGAAATTCAGCAAGCCAAACGTGTACAAAATGTTTGGGATATTGAAGGCTATATGAGAGCAGCCCTATACCATCACCTCAGGACGGAGTTTATAAAGAGGATTTGGAATGAAGTCATAAATCTCAACAGGGAATACCAACACTATTGTCAGATATTGAAGATATCAAGGTTGGAATCAGACGCTCACATAATTTCTAAGGCTAAACTCGTCGGAATGACAACAACTGGATTGGCTAAATATAGAAGTATGATCGCAGCCGTGGGCCCGAAAATCGTGTTGATTGAAGAAGCAGCAGAGGCTTTGGAAGGACCCGTGGTGGTCGCATGCATGCCGAGCGTCGAGCACTTGATCCTAGTGGGAGATCACAAGCAGCTTAGGGGCCATTGTTCTGATATAAACCTCTCCGATGATCCCTACTATTTAGATATCTCAATGTTTGAACGTTTGGTGACAAACGAACTACCATACGAGACATTAAGAATACAGAGACGTGAGTTTTCCTACAGATAGAGATAATAAAAGAGGAATGCTAATGAATTTGGAAAGGCATGAGGCGGGAGATTCGCGAAATCCTGAAACCAATCTGTATGTCAAATACTCCATATCAACCTATTTCTTGGATTTACTAACCAGCCGGTATGTAGATGCGGATACACTCGTGGATGATAAGACTGTTCTAGGCCGAGAATCAGTCCAGGGAATGGGCGATGTGAATGTAAGGGTCTATCTTCTAAAGACGTTCCTGTACTTATTTTGTATCCAGGTCTATTGGTATACACACTTCTACGCAGAAGGTGTTGATGAAGTCCATTCGCGCGTGAACGAGAATGAGGCAGAAATGATAGTTCACTTCGCAGAATACCTTGCGTTGAACGAGTTAGACCCCGATGAGATAACTATCCTCACATTCTACGCCGGGCAGAGAAATATGATTCTCCAAAAGTTGAGGGCAAATAAAAATCTTACCGCGGCGAATATCAAGGTCAGAACCGTGGATAGTTACCAGGGAGAAGAGAATACAGTAATTCTTCTAAGCTTGGTGAGGAGTAACGATCGTGGCCAAATTGGATTTTTAGATGTATTGTTGATCCCCTTCTTTAGCCAGTTGTACAAATGGCTGACACTGTTTAGGTCGAAAATCGTGTTTGCGTCGCCCTATCACGTGCCAGGAACGGCCTCTACATCTTTGGAAATGCTACAATAATCACCCAGGCCAGTAAATTATGGTGGGAAGTCGGAACTATTCTCAATGCAGCGCCATCAAGACTTGGAATTTCCCTTCCCTTGACGTGTCAGAAACACAAAGTCAGGATAGCGATAGAAGGTATGCCTTATTCTTAGTGCAATCGTTTATCACTAATCTAACAATTTACGGGAATTTAGATCCTAAGGACTGGATCGACATCAATGGAGGTTGTCGTAAATGGTGCCAGGAAGTATTGCCGTGTAATCACAACTGCATCTTGAGATGCCATCCGTGAGTATAGGACTTCAGCAAATCAATAATCTTACTAACCGAAGATTAGGTTTTCGCACGATAACGTACGGTGTAGTTTCCCATGTGAAAGAAAACTTTCGTGTGACCATCAGTGCGGTAATATTTGTTCGAAAGAGTGCATTTGTCCCAAATGTGGCAAAGAATCAGAGAAGCCACGGCCACCACCGCCGGGTCGTTCCAGTAATCCAGTCACCGCTCCTGACCAACAACCCCCTACTCTTCCCGTTGCCGCTATTGAAAACCGCACAACAGAAAGGCCTCCTATACATGCTGCCAGTATCGATAGACCGCAAGTCACTACACCTAGGCTTGTCGATGTTGATGATGAATGGGCAGCTGCGCTACCAACGAATCGAGCACAAACAGTAAGAAACGGGGATGATTTCCCAGGAATTCCTGGCAGAGCTATGCCTTTTGCGTACCCAAAGGGTAATAATAATAACCCTCGGGCCCAGAACGAATACCCCCAGAAAATCTATCAAGAGGGTCGACCAGGGGAGGACTACTCTCAGGGCAACTACGATTATCCTCAGGGTAACCATTCTCTCCAGAGTCGCCCCCCACCCCCTCAGAGCCGTCCTCCGCCCCCACAGAGCCGCCCTCCACCCCCGCAGAGCCGGCCTCTACCACCCCCTCAACACCGTCCGCCACCCTCTCAGGGTCGCCCTCCACCTCAAAACCACCCTCGGGAAAATTACCAACAGGAAGGTTACCAACAGGACAGCTACCAGGATGACTATGTACGGGATGATTACCAGCGGGAAAATCCTTCCCTTGATAACCGCCTAGTTGTCCGTCCCCGAAACAGCCATCCTCCAAACTACCCTCCAAACAACTTTCCCCATGGCCAGAGCAACTATCAGGACGATATCATTAATCATCAAGGCAATTACGACGAGGTTGATTACAACAGAGGCAACGGCTATCCCAACCGTGGAGGTCCTGTTATGGCACCTCGCGGCACGGCTTATGGCTCTGGTCGCCGTCAGGCCTGGGAGACATGGGTAGAGGACGATGGAAATTCGCATTTCGCAGGCAGGGAAGGTGGGATGCCGAGGGGGGCATACGGCCACTGGGAAAACAGAGAATACTCAACGCAAGAGCGCAGAGCTCCTGAAGAATTCCCGCCTCTAAGAGGGGCTATGAATTCGCCCAGAGGCTTTGAGCCAGTACACAGGGGTAACAACAATAATGTGTGGAACAAGAATAACCCAAATTACGGGCCATCTACTAGAGGGGGCGGCGGGGCGAGGGGAGGGCGTGCCTCATATACCGCTTGGCGCTAACCGCAGCTGGTACTGTACCCTCCGTTTCTTCTTTTTTTTTGTGTTAAAATGCAACTACATGGTTAAGGTGCTGTATTTGTGCTTTAAAATCTGTTTCCCTTTTTTTCAAAGAATTTTACTTGCTGTTATACATGGTTAGCGTTTTGGGGCGTACAAGGTCGGGGGTGGGGGTGGGGGTGGGGGTGGGGTGGCGGGTAGGCGGGCGGGTGTTTTTCTTGTAAACATTTTCTTTGATTTGATATCTTCAACTAGTATCAATAGAGACACTATTTTAGATGCGATTCTTGTAACGTTTAAAATCTCAAGCGGTGGCTAGAAAGAAAAAAAGACCGGAAGTTATGTAGGTAGCTTGTCACCGAGTGATGACCTATGATCGCCGCTCCTACCCCCCACCCACCCCCAGTTCTGGGCTTACCAACGGAATGGCGCGATGGTTTACTCGTTTTTGTAGGCGCCGGAAAGCTTTCTTTCATGTTGTCCCGACGTTGTATGCCGGATCAGCGAGAAATGCCAGGACGCGGGGTTCGGGCAAAATCTCTCCCACGGCAAGGCCTGAAGCTGGCACATATGTAGAAAAGGATATCGAGCCCCGCCGACCGGCAAGTCTTGAAGGGGTTTGTACTGTCATTGGGGGCCGGGTGAGGTTTTTCTTTTTTTTTTGGGGGGGGGGGGGGAGGGGGCGCTGGGTAGTGGGTTAGAAGGAAGGCCGGGGGCTAGCTAGCTGAGCGGGGTTTTTTTTTTGGTAGGCTCGGTTTTGGGAGGTTAGGTCGTCGGGTTATATTATAGGCCGGCTCGGACCGGTGTGTGGTCGGATGAGCGCCGGTACCATGCGTGGTCGTTGACATGCTCTGCGCGTGTGTTAGCAGCTAGCGTGTCGAGTGAGAATCTATGACGCACGCTTCCCGGATCTATCTAAGCGGGCACATGGGATCCCGGGAACAGATAGCCGCACTGCTGGAAGCGAGCGCGCTCGTGGGCTGGGGTTATATACTCCTGGGCGTTACGTATGGAAACACAGTCGGAAAACTCAGCCAACAAACGCACGGGCCATGGCCAAGAATAACACCCTTAAGCTACATATACTCATAATCACGCCGACTCCCGCAATCGGTAGGATTAAAGTAAAAGGACCGAAAACGAGCTCATACTATTTCCTGTGTTCTACATAGCGCAAAAAAAAGCTTATTCGTGGTGGGTTGGTTGGCTGGGATCATGGGGAATCACTCGCTCTGCCATAGTAGGCGAGGCGGGGCTTCTTTAGCCGTGACTTGCTGTTGTTGGCTCATTTATGAGATTTCTGTACCCGGCACGCGCTAGTGCGGCTAGGTGAATATCAAGACTCGGTGGGTTGCGCCTAGTCTTGGTGTTCGCCCAGCTACACGAGGTCTGCGGAGGGGATGGCTCAGGGGGGAGTCTTCACCAGATATCAATTCCATATGATGATAGCCATGAATAAGGTCCTGGATGCCTAGAAGTCTATAATTCACAAGTGTAATGTCAATAAGTGATCCGATCACGAAATATCACTCGCTCTATTTCTAGCTACATAAAAAAGCGAACCAAAGGCCAAAAAAGAACGAAGAAAAAAGAGAAAACCACCCAAACCCCCACCCCCTATCCCGACCCCGCCAACCTCCTAATCCGCTCCTCCGCAGCCCTCGCCCTCCTCTCCCTCTCCAACCTCATCCTCCCCTCCTTCGTCAGCCCCGCCTCCTGCTCCTCCCTCCTCCCCATCCCCATCTGCACCGTCCCACCGAGATTCCTCCCCCCCCTCCCCGGCAACCTTCTACTCTCCGCCGCCCGCCGCTCCGCCTCCTCCGCCAGCCTCGCTACCTCCCGCTCCCGCCGCACACGCTCCTCCGCCTCCCCGCCCTCCTTCTCGCGCCGCTCCCGCTCCCCCGCTTCGGACTTCGACAGCGCGGCAGGCACCCCCGCGGCCTCCCAGTCCCAGGCGGCCTCGCCGAGGTCGTGCCGCGCGACGCGGAATGCGTCGCGCGTGGCGCGGTCGCCGGCGAGCTCGAAGGCGGGGCGCGGCTGCGCGGGGGTTGTGAGCGTGGGGTCGGCGCGCGCTTTTGTGAGGAGCGCTGTTACGACTGCGGGTGAGGAGGAGGACGCGGCGAGGTGCAGGAGGGTGGGGGAGTGGTGGTTGGGCGGGGTGAAGGTGTAGTTTGGTGAGAGGGTGTGCGTGGTTAGGTAGGTGAGGAGCGCGGGGGCTTTGGAGCGCCGGATGAGAGCGGTGAGTTGGCTGCTGTGGAGGTGGGCGGTTTCTTCGGCGGGGGTGAGGCGTGGGGTGGGTTTTGGCTTGGCTGTTGGGGGGGCGGTGGTGGTGGTGGAGGTGGTGAGGGCGGAGAGCGAGGTGGTGGTGAGAGTGGAGGTCTTCATGCGCGTGAGCTCGACGAAGCAGCGCATTAGCTCCGATTCCGTCGCGCGGCGGGTACTGAACGGGAAGCCGCGGATGCGCGGGTCATTACTCTTCAGCGGCGCGCCCTCCCCAAACAGCGTGCGCCTATTCGAGTTGCCCACCGCGCGCACAAACAGAAGGTCCGCCGTATCCAGCCACTCCTTCCACCCCGCAAGCAGCTCGCGGATCTCCGCCGTCAGCGCAACCTCGTTGTACCTTCGCAGCGAGCTACCGGCCGAGTGCGCAGCGCCCTTGGCGGCGTCGCTCGCGGACTGCGCACCTCCTTGCTTGCGCCGCGTGGTGTAGCGGTGGAAGGTCTTGTGCGCGAGGATGGCTGCCGAGCGCTCGCCGCCTGTCTTGGCGACCTTGGGCGCGAGGGAGACGACCATGGCTGCGAAGTGCCCGCCGCCGATCATGCACATGAAGATGTGCGGTTCTTTACCCTTGGGCTGAGCGGATAGCTGTTTTGTGCGCAGCGCGTCGAGCCATGATGCGTCCGACTGCTCGGGCTTGGTGAAGAGCGCGCGGTACACGCCGAGCGATGTCTCTGCGGGGAGGAGCGGCGAGTTGAACCATATTATGGGCGCTTTGCCGGCGCCCTGTTTCCAGCCGGCGGCGGTGGTGGTGGTGGGCTCGTCGTCCGGGTTGGCGAGGACGGCGTTGCGCTTCAGGAGCGCGGAGAGCTGGTCGGTGGGGCCGCTTTCGTCTTCGGAGGAGTTGCTGTCGGAGCCGGAGATGCTCTCGTTGAGGCCCTCGAGGAGGTCGTCGAACTCGGCTTCGGTGACGGCGGGCTGGCCGCGGACTTTGCGCTTTAGGTTGAAGTTGTGGATGTCGGAGCGGGCGTGGGCGCGCTGCTCGGCGACGGTCTTGTTGGTGATCTTGCAGAGGGCGCAGGAGGTTGAGGAGGTGGTGTCGGCATCTTGCGGCGCTGTGGTGGATGTGGTGGGTTGGGCTTCCTCTGGGGTGGCGGGCTGGTCGGTCCGTAACGTGAGGGTTTCGAGGAGCTCTGGTGGGATGTCGTAGACTGTGGAGTGTTAGATGTGAAGATATTGGGGTCAAGTGGTGAACACAAACCGTACACTGGACGCTTGAGGAGATCCTCTTCTTCTTTGACCATTGTGGGTTTGCGTATGGGTTTGTCAGTATGAAGAGATGGCCGTGAGTGATGCTGTCGTAGTGAAGTCTCTGTAAACTGCAGTCTCCAGAGACGACGTTCTTATTCTCTGTCTAAGCTGATTGAAACTCCGTGATGGTGGGGCTTCTGCTGTATCGATAAAGAGATGATCTGTCAGGCTTCCCGCACAGTTCACGAATGACGCAGAGGTGTCCCAGCCAAGAGTTTGCAGCTGAGTCATGCATGCAGCTTTGTAACGCCGCATTCCACGGCACTTGGCCGGGGTGGGTTAGCACGGCGGGAAAGACGCCCTGGGGAGAGCTCTTGATGCCGCAATACTGCAACAGGAAGTCGCCAGAGAGAAGAGGAGATAAAGAGATACAGGAGGTACAGGAGGTAGAGTGTGTGTCTCCGTGCATGTAAGAGAAGGTGCCTGCCTTTTTCTCTCCCACTGGCATATCTCGAGGGAGCTGCTGCATCTGCTGCCCAAGTTCATGTAGAGCAGAGTCATGCTGCCGAACGTTAACCATCGCAGTCTGAGGCTCAATTAGACATCTCCCTGGACATGCCTGTATCTACTCTACATGTAAGTAGAGTACTCTGCTGCAATGTACCATCATGTTCCGCGAACATACATGTATCTGTTCTACTCAACCTGTGCTCATAGACCTCCGGGTCCCAATTAAACTTCCCCTTCCCCCTATCCCATCGGGGCAGAGAAGAGCAGAGCATGTAGCCTAAAACAAAGTGAGTCCCAGAATATGTAATAAAACCCCAAATAAAATCCCGGTAAGAGACACCCCAAAATTTAATTCCCACGGCAGCTCTCTACCGGTGCCCTTACCACCCCCAAGACGAAATGGCGCATCGGCCCAGACGTTTTTCTGAAGCACGACGACGAGGCTGAGACCATTTTTTCTTTGCTTGCATGCGTGCATGCATGCAGAGAGGACTTGACCAGGGTGGTTTTTTTAGACTTCTTCTACCCATCATTCCCACCCCCCGGTTCTCTCTCCCCCACACACACACCACTCACTCCTCACTCGCTATGTATATGTAGACAGTAGCTACTGACACCACCACCACTACCTCTGCAACCACAAACCATATATTACCACCAGAAACAGAAGCAATTAGGCACATCTACAGACAGACGCATATGAACAATCCTCGGAATTGACAGCAGAAGAAACAGCCATAATGACGACGACAATTCACCGCCAGATTGGGCGTATGGGCAAGAGGTCCGCCGACGATGTATGGTCCATCTCTATCTCCACCGCCACTACCATTACCTCCATAGAACTGGTCTCCCAAGATGTGAATTAGCAGTAACTGACGAACCTCTCCCCAGGCCAGCGTAGCAATGATCATTAAGGAAGTCCACGACGCCGAGACTCTCCTGGGAAAGGTGCCCCCACCCCCTTCCGTGGGCCCCACATCACAGCACGACTAATACCCCACAGCTCCTAGAACACACGAAAGCCTGGCGCGATGCCTGGTCGTCAATTCTCGTGAACCAAGTCAACCTCACAGACTCCTTCCACGATGTCTACAAGACGATCCCCATGCCCGGGGACTCGAAGGTCGAGGTTCTTGAAACGCCGACCGACACGCTGAGACGTGTTGCAACGCTGCATGCCGCACAGAATGATCTGAAAGCGGACATGATGGACGAGATTGAGAAGGTGGATCGGTTGCTTGTTGAGAGATTAGGAGAGGCTAAGGTACGTTATTAGTGTTACTCGGGGTTAGGAATTACTGCTGACAGGCGTGTTCGTACGCAGGCGGCGCTGAAACCGGTCAAGAAGGCAATTGAGAAGAGAGAGAACAAAAAGCTAGACTATGAGCGCTTTAATAAGCAAGTTGAAAACTCGCGCTCAAAGAAGAACAAGTCGGACAGGTGAGAGAACCACTGTCGCGCGCTTGGGACCGGAGCACATTACTAATACCTTTATAGGGAGTATTCGGTCCTATCGAAGGCAGAAATGGATGCCGAGCGGTCTAAGAACGTACGCAAAACCAACGCAGTCAGTTATCTAGCTACAGGCTAACATATAATCATAGGCCTACGAAAATGCCGACGAGCACATCAGATCCTTCGTGCCCCCACTGCTTGCCAAGATCGTTGAATTTGTCCCATGCATCGTCGAGTTCATCGTGATAACCCAGTACACCCTACTCCAAAACACTTACAGCGCAATCTACGAGTACGCCAACGACTACGGCTACACTGACCCCGAAGGCGCCGTCGTAATCTCAGAATGGGAGTCCCAATTCCTACCCATCCAGCAGCATCTCGAATCCGAGATTACCTTCATCGCCCGCGGCAAAGCCATCACCATGCCCATGAACGTCATCGTCCAAGAAAAGAGCATCATCCCTCGCCTGGGTCGCACAAACAAACCTCCTCCGCCCCCACCCCCGTCAAACCCACCCGGCGGCGCCCCAAGCTACCAGGAGAAATCACCAATCATGAACCGCTTCCAAACAAAGTTCACCAGGGAGGAAGCACCACCTCCACCCCCGCCGGTGAGTAGCAGGCCAAGTATCCGCTCCCGCCCATCCAACTCCAACCTCTCCGCACATTCACGTGACGAGTCCCCACCCCCGCCATTACCGGGCCCACGGCCCGGGACAGCAAACCCGCAGGGCAGCTCAGACGGCGGCTACAAAAGCGTCGTTAGGAGCCGGTCCTACGGCGGCAACACACCTCTTGCGACAGTGGCACAACGGCACGCAGTCGACCCGCCGACAAGCAACTACCTCTCGCCCAAGCTCCCCTCGGAGATGCCGCGGCGCAAGAGCGACTCCGCGGGTGAGTTCCAGGCCGGCGGGAGCGTGCAGGAGCGGCTGGCCGCGATCCGGGCGGGCCAGAACAGCCTAGCGCGGGTGGAGAAGGTGGTGGGTAATGGCGGGGCGCCGCGGCCGCCGGTGTCGAGGCACCCCACGGGCGCGAGTATGGCGAGTATGGCGAGCGTGTCGAGCTATAGGAGTGCCGCGAGCGATTTGAGTAGTATTGCGGGTAAGAAGAAGCCGCCGCCACCGCCGCCGCCGAAGAAGAAGAAGATTGGGCTCGGACAGACGTGGGTGAGGGCGTTGTATGATTTTGATGGGCAGGATACGGGGGATTTGAGCTTTAGGGAGGGGGAGAAGATCTTGGTGGTGAGGAAGACGGAGAGTGTTGATGGTGAGTTTTGGAATCTACGTGTATTTGCTGTGGTTTGGATTGTGGCTAATAGAGTGTGGGTGTTGTAGATTGGTGGGAGGGTGAGCTGAATGGCCGGAAGGGACAGTTCCCGGCTAATTATACGGAGATTGTTTAATTAACCACAAAACCCAACTAGGCATATTTGTTGGCTAAGACCTTTTTCTTTCTTTCTTGTTTTTTTGTTTTGTTTTTTTAGGGGGGTAGTCAAGTTGGGGGTGATCCGGGGTATTGCACGGGATTTTCCTTTATCATTATCATTTATCATTTATTGTTTTTGCTGTTCCTGTCTTCTTTTTTATTCTGTGTGCGTGCAATAGTCCCCTTCCCTCCGCTTCACCTTCAAGGGGTATATTGTAGGTTTTGTTCTTTATTTTAGCTTATTTTTGTATTGTTGTATTGCTGCTGCATGGGGTTGTATTGGGTTGGGTTAGCTAGGTACGTTAGTCGGGCTGCCCCTCCATCACAATGGGGCCAAGTTCAGAGATACCCAAGGGCTGCGGAGAGTAACATGGGATGGGACCGATTGATATTTGATAGGGAGAGAAAATGGAAGAGAGAATGTTTAATCTACAATGGGTGTCTTGGCTTTATGGGACTGGAAGGTGGTTGAGTGTTTTGAGTGCGATGTGATGTGATATGATAACTACTACTGATGCCGGCGGAGGGGGGAGGGAGGGAGGAGTGGATAGAGGGTCAATGATCACATCTACGGGTTGGGCAGCTCATGTGTAGAGTAGGCATGTAGAGTATATACTTACTAGTATTTCCCACCCCGCCCCGCCCCGCACTGCACCGCCTCGAAGCCGATCTTAGGACAGTCCGGCCTGGATTGGCGTGAGACCTCGCTGGCTTGCTAATTGTGTACTAACTCGGTCTTGGATATAGACATATTGCTGCCTTTGGCTGGGACTGGGGATCTAGGCTTTGGTGTAGGTACATGTGTGAGACTAGGGACTGGCATTGCATACAGCTTATATGGCGGGTATGTTGGGGCGGTGAACTATGGGGTGCGGCCGGTGCGGAGGGTGCGTTATGGTGGGATGCCCGCAGTATGTACTAGAATCTCTTCAACGACCTTAGCTCTAAGTTATGAGTATACTACATCCTCCAAACGATATACCCTTTCCTATGCCCGCATGCACAGTGCTTTCGGTTACGTGCGATGGAGTCATCATGATCAATGCTTCGAAGGGGATAGATTGTGGGTGGGCTTGATAAAAAAAAACCCCCATGGAATCACAACGAACCTACCAAGCATTTCCGTTAGCCCAACAAGGTCTCCCGAGTGATTCCCCATGAAGCCAGCAGCAGCGGCTGCGGCTGCGGCTCCTACCTTTTTTCCCCTAACCGCAAACATACACACCCAGGCATCAGCCGTGCTCTTGGCGCTTCGTTGGTTTCAGGATCGACTTCTGGAGGGAGGGGGCTTGGTAAAGGTGCAACATTGGTTGATCCTCCCACCTCACTCTCTTGTCTTGTCTTGTCCAGCCAGCCTGCTTTCTCTGCTCAACTCCCTTCTTTTCTCTCCACCTCACCACCTCACACCCTCAGTTTCGATATCTTCTCTTCCTCCTCCTGCTCCTCACCCCCACCCCCTTTTACAGTAGCTTTTTCGCCTCGCAACTCTACTACCACCTTAATCCTCATCCCGGCGACCATGGATAGAGCTCTTGACGACGTCGTGAGAGAGCGCTCGGTAGGTTCTTCTGTGTGTGCTGGCTGCCTCAGAACCCAATCCGCTAACGCCCCAGAAGCGCGGAAACAATAATGGCGGAAACAATGGCGGGAACGG